CCAACCTAACTGCCGGTGCAGATGCGGCTAGGTTGATGGAGGAATGGATGGTGCATTATCTACACCGACAGAAAAAGCCCGTAGTGTAGACAAGCCCTATGTGTACCCAAATTGGGAATTACGCCTCCCAGCGGCTGTGTAGACATACCCCTAGGGGCAGGAACTCTCTCTTACTCTGTGTTTGTACCGTGCCTCAGTCGCTGCTGGGATTTCAAGGTGCTGCTGTAAAGCAAATAATAAATGGCAAACCGCAGTAACAAGCTTAGTATAAAACTATCCTTGGGGATGTGGGAATCGCAGCCAGTGGGGTTTTAAATACTGACTGAATTAATCACATCGACCTTTTTGCCATTCACAGCTACTCCCTGATCACGCCCAACGTCCTGCGGGTGGAGAGTGAAGAGAAGGTCGTGGTGGAAGCCCATGGCCTCAATGCCCCAGTTGCGGTTACAGTCATCGTGCAGGACTTCCCGCTTAAGAAAAACATCTTATACCAGGTCCAAACCGACCTCAACCCTGCGAATGGGATGATGGGCACAGCCGTAATAAAGGTGGGTAAAACCCCAGTGACACAAAGGGTATCATTTTCAACAATGACCCACTCATTTTAGGAGCCTCCAATATTTTTGCTCCCCAACTCTGCAATACTGAGACATTCAGACCCCGTCCAGGTTGGATGTCGTTCTAAAAGACACACTCTAGCCCAGCATGAAGTTATGAGCTGGAATTGCTGGCTGAAAGTCTATTGCCTGTGTTATCCATGTAACCCCTTTGGGGTTTAGAGAGCATGGCCCCTTTAAATCTTTTTCCTAGGGGTGAGGGGGAGAGTGAGAAAAAAGGAGGGAAACTCCAGCGGGTGACTCTGGAGCTCAGAGGGAGAGAGAGCAGCAGGAGCCCACAGACCCTCGCAAAGGAAGCAAGAGAGAACCTGCCTGATGGCTGGGAAGTGGGAAGGGCAGGGCGGCCGATGGGGGACAGCCCAGGAGAGGCGCCAGGAGGAGCATTGTGCCAGGGAGGAATCGCCTGAGAAGGACAGGCTGGAGCTGGACCCAGTATCAGGACTGCCCAGAGCTGCACGGGGCTGTGAGTACTGGGGCTTGGGACTCTGCACTGGGGACAAGGAGGGAGGCTGTAGCTAGTTAAGTGGGGAGGTGGTCGCTCTGTGGGCTTTGCAGAGAGCGGCAGAAGAGGGCACCGGAGGGGTTTGCTGGGGAAAGTTCACTGGCGCCGAAGACGACCAGGAGCACCCAAGACTCACCACTGGACTGGAACTTTGCGCAGGACTCCTGAACTCTGTGTGCAGACACATTGCTCAGTGTCTGCCCTTCCAGACTGTGCTACCACTGGGCCTGGGGGGCCTTTGTTTGAATGCAACGCTGTTCTACTGCTCCCCCTATTTCCCCTTGTTGTTTTTCTCCTCTCATCCCTCTGTAAATAAATATTTCCCTTTGTTATATCCATTGTACTTTTCCTGTGGGTGGGTGTGTTCACTCTGGGGGGTTTGGAACAGGTGCCTCTGGGGTGGAAGGATTTTCTCCTGCTGCATTCCTGCGCGCGCCTTCTCTTGGCCAGAGCAGACTCCATCTTGGCCACGAGGGCGCTAAAGTTACATACATAGGGCCCTACCAAATTCACAGCTGTGAAAAACGCATCACGGACCCTGAAATCAGACCTCCTCCGTGAAATCTAGCTATTGGAGGGGAGGAGAAGGGGCAGGGCTGGGGGTGCCCCAGACGGGGGCCTCTACAATGTCCCTGGCTCCAGCTGTTAGTCCCCTCAGGGCTGGGGAGGGACAGGACTTACTGTTGCCCTGCACAGCTGCTCTTTGCGGGAGATCAGACCCACCTCTGGGGACCTCCCCTGGCTGCAGGAAGCTCCATCACTGGGCAGCAGCTCCAGAGCTTCCTGCAGCCACAGGAGGTTGCCAGAGGTGGAGGTGGGTCCGATCTCCCCCGTGCTGCTGGGAACGCCCCAGCCAGGGGAGGTACACAGAGGTGGGTCTGATCTTCCCCCGAGGGCCGTGCAGGGGAGAAGGAAGTCCTGTCCCTCCCCAGCCCGGCTGGGACTAGCAGCTAGGAGCCCCTGGCTAGGCGCTCCCAGAAGCACGGGGGAGATCAGACCCACCTCCAGCTCTGGGAACCTTCTGTGGCTGCAGGAAGCTGAAGGCAGTGCAGAAATGAAGGTGGCAATTTTATGACTCCCCTACAACTGGTTTGCGACCCCTCCCCCATGAATCCCTTTTGGGTGAGGATCCTCACCCTGAAATTTCAGATGTAAACATCTGAGAACATGAAATTGACTAATTTTCAAATTCTAGGGCCATGAAATTGACCAGAATGAACTATGAATTTGGTTGGGCCCTAGTTACACAGGAGGTCAGACTAGCTGATCGTGTTGGTCCCTTCTGGCCGTAACATCTACGAATCTATTAGTGATGGGAGACGTATAGCTAACTAGTCAGATAAGCATTGTGGGGGTCTCTCGTTGTGGACCTAAAAACGGAGGTGACCCTAGGGCGACCAGATTTCTGGATTTTATAGAGACAGTCCTGATATTTGGGGCTTTTTCTTATGTAGGCTCCTATTACCCC